GGTATACTCATCTAAAGCATGCTTATCTATTCAACAGCCAAGCAATTAGAATGCCATGGATTCATATATGGCTATTCTGCAACCGGTTGTACACAAATTTATTGTGCCCTTATGCGTCCTCGCGTGGGATCCAACTACTTTGCGGACCGCTAGGCAATCGGACTGCCAACCATGGTTGGACAGGTGTGGAACTACTTTGCGGACCGCTAGGCAATCGGTCGGCCGACCAGGGTTGGACGGGTGCGTGCTTCAGCACCTGCTTGCCCTGCGGATTGTTTTAACAAGACATTTGCTCCCATATGAAAATTAGAGGACCATCCAGTTTTATGTTCTACAAGCGAAATCATCACAATATAATAGCGCATTCCGACTTCACTTCAAAATAGCATACCAAACTAATAGCAATGGGAGGCTGCACAATGAATCAAGAACTACGCGTGTATAGACAGTGGAAAATCCCAAAATATTAAAAGATTCAACAAAGAGAAATAGAGGATTCTAGACTCGCAGTCGCACTGACAAGTCAGTGGCAGAAGGACAGTTGATATACATTTTCTTTTAGAAAAAAGATAATAATCCCGGCATCTGCAGCAGGCGATTGCATCGATGCACACAACCATTCTTTATTCATTATTCAGTGACTTGGTAAGTAAGAAGGTGCATACTAAGAGAGCTTAATTACCTGATGGCCTTTCAAGGTAGTATTTGGAGAAGACAGTTGGAAGTAGGGGCACATTAAAAAACTCGCATTTGTGATCTTTCACATCCACAGACTGCCGATTGATATATGGAGTACATGACCGCAGAGATGCATGGTTCATGTCAACCATGATCATGGAGGCCTCGCCATGAAATGCCTGCTTCCTTAACAGGCAGCACAGAGCATCTGCGTCATCGGCGCTGAGGACTGGGTACTCGGGAAGATCCAGGTCGATCACACGATGTGGCTCCCACTTGATCCATCACGTTCAAAGTCCAAATGGTGATTTTTTGGCGAGGCTGCTGCCCTCGTTGCCAGCCGATGTGCAGGTCGTTGTCAATGTGGACGAAGCGCATCTTGCCTTGGCTGATGGACACGCTTCGGTATCTCTCCCCGAAGCACTTCTGCGCCCGTACCTCCGCACTGTACTCTTCTTCTCCGGGGAAAGGCACGAAGTGGAGCGCCGGGGTCGGGGATGGGCACATGTCGGAGAAGTCGGCTAGCACGATGCCGCTGAAGTAGTCAACCCAGCACAGGAAACGGCCCTCCGAAGCGAGCACACGGTGGGTTGCCTGGAGCGCGGGGAGCCGGCCGCCGTTGCTCTGGTCCTGCGGCCGCGGGGCGTCCTTGAGGAAGACCCTCCACTTTCGTGACTTGGAGTTGAAGGCGCAGAGCTCGGCACGCATGGAATAACTGCCGGTGTCCTCTTTTTCCCTGTAGAGGATGAGGTCCGCAACGATGTAGCCGTCGTCTTGGCGCCGGAGTATGCCTGTGGTGAAGTTACTCACCAGGAACCGCCTCCTCCTGTCCTTGGTGTACAGAGGGAGCTGCTGTACCGACGGGGAAGGACCGGCGGCCGTGTAGACGAACAGGTCCGGCGGGACGATGCGGTGGCGTGTCCGGCTCGGGATGGAGACGTGGAAGAGGACGAGGTCCTTGCAGGGTTTTGAATTTCGGCCGTAAAACATGGATTTCGGCCGAATTTCGGCCATCTCGGCCTAGGGCGAAATCTATCTTCCGCCGAAATTGGTCAAATTTGAGAAATTTTGGTCAAATTTTAATCAAATTTCAGTCAAAATTTGGTCAAATTTCGGCCGAAATTTTTAAAAACGACCGAAATTCGGCCATCTCGGCCTAGGGCGAGAAAAATCACAAAACGAAAATCAAAACGCTGGGTCCTTGTCGATTGCCCGGACGTAGGGATAGGCGGGCTTCCCGTAGGTGGACACGGATTTGTCTGAGTCTTCCAGCGGCCAGTGAAGATCGAGGTAAGAGGCACCCCCTTGTGGAGGAGGCGCGAGGGTGAAGGACACGTAGAAGGAGTGGCCGCTGTCCATGTCGACTTGAACGGCGGTCTTGTTCCCGTTGACAGCCTCACTAGCAGCGTCTAGGCCGTTGTGCCAGTGGGTGCGGCTGAGACGATCCATCATCACCCAATCGGGGAAGACGACGGTCTCCTCCTCCGGCACCGCCGCGCCTGCCTTGGCCATGGAGATCCAACAAACAGCCGCCTCCCTAACCCTATTTCACGAGAAGGGCAAGAAACAAGACCAGTTTTTTTTTTGAGAAGAAGAAACAAGACCAGCTGTTCGACGTGGCCGCCTATTTGACGGAAGTTGGCGTCAAAATAAAAGAAGCCACGCCTGAAACGGCACAAAATGGGCCAGCCCACTCTAGCAAACTCACTTGAGTAGTTTCTTTTTGTTCAACTAAAATAAAAGAGTTTTCTAAAAAAAACTAAAATAAAAGAGATCCCTAAAAAAACTAAAATAAAGAGTAGTTTCCTTTTGTTTTTTCTATTCGGTTTTGTGATTGTTTGTTTCTGAAAAGCCATCTGTGGGAATTTTGAAGTAGCTAAACAATTAAAATCATATTTTCAAAAATAAAAAATATTTCAAATGTGTTATGTGTTTAAAAAAGTTAGTCTGCGCTAAGAAATATTCTACGTATATTAAATTAGTTCACCATACATTAAAAAAGTTCATTGTATATAAACTATTCATAGATATTAAGAAAATCTTCGTTGTGTATTTGGAAAATGTTCATGGTATATTAAAAAATTAAAAAAAAACTATATTAAAAAGGAAAAGGTGCAAAAGGAATAACCAAAAGAAAATGTAGGAGAAAAACCAAACCCGGATAGGAGAAAAAGGAAAAATTTAATAAAAATGAAAGAAGAACCAGAAAATAAAGAAAAAACACCAAAACAGACCACCAAAATTAAACCAAAAACGAAAAACTAGAACAGAAAAAAAAACTAAATACCACC